TGCCAGGCCAGACAGGAATCACCCACCGGCCAAATTTGGCCCACGGGCCTTGAGTTTGACACATGTGAGCTAGACGATTAAAGTAGCAAGCTAAAAGTAGCTAAAGGATAGATAAGAGAGGCTAGCTAGTTGTACACAAGAAGACAAAAACAGCAAAAAGGCTAAATCATCCAACCAGCTAATTCAACCTTTGTCCACCAGGGGCAGCAGATCATCAACTTCATTTGTTCAAGCGAAGAAGAGCAGACCGGAAGTAGACGTACAACAGTCACCTTAACCAACAACAAAATACAGTGAGTGGAAAGAGCACTGATAGAAAATAAAGTATTTACATGTAATTACTGTAAATATAATTAAGTTTATAATATTTTACTGTGATCCTGGTGTAACGGTGGTAGTTTTCTGTTCGTGTTTGAACGGAGGAGCAGGTTTCTGCACCGACTGAGCTAAATGTATTAAAGCCAGGTAAACACAGGTGTTTAATCTCTTCCTGACTGTAGTTTTCAGCTGATAGATTGTAAAAAAAAAAATACAGTTCACATCATTTGTGCCAAGTTTTCTTCTCAAGTGTCTGAACTGAAAATAAAGAAAAGCTGCAGCTAAAGGTCAAAACACTTCAGAAAACCTGGAAAATMATTAAAGTGTTTCTCCCAAATCTGTTTTCTTTTATTTAGTTTTAACCTCTTTGAAAATAGACTCTTATAAATTACTAATTTGGGACGGGAAAGTGTAAAATTGTTTAAAATAAATAAATAAATAAAGTTGATATTGTCATGTTTATGTTTGCTTAGGTCGGTTAGCTGTGGCAGCCATCTTGGATTCAGTGAATTCTGTTGTGTTATTAATTCATTAAAGTCTGTCCAGTGGTTTCAGAGATAGTTTGCTCCATAATAATAATAATAATAATAATAATAATAATAATAATAATCCATCCATCCATCCATTTTCTGTACACGCTTCTTCCTTTTCAGGGTCGCGTGGGTCACTGGTGCCCATATCCAGCAGTCACAGTGCGAGGGGCGGGGTACTAATAATAATAATAGTAATAATATTAATAATAATAATAAAAATCTTGGACATAAATGTGAAATGCACTCAGCTTCTACCAAAGCACATTTGAGCTCAACAGATGTAATTAGCTGAGTGTTTGCAGGTCGTCAGTTAGCTGTGACGGCCATCTTAAGATATTTTGCTAACAGTACAGACATTAATGTGTAAAAGTTGTTTTTATTTGATAGCGTTAACTTTAGTGATGTAGTAAAAAGTGTTTGCAGAGATGGAAAGTGTCTGAAAGCTGCAGGAGTGTATTTAGTATCTTCAGGTATGGTCTGTCTCTCTCTGCGGTCAGGACATGTCTGCAGGAGGGTTCCAGTGGTTCCTGAGACACGTGAGAGGAACCGTGTGCCATGGAAGACCTGTCTGCTGGACGCCACCATCGAAATCACCGACATGCAGTGGTCGTAACGTCMCCTCCACCTGGAGACGATCCTTCTCCACGAAAATCACTGATGACGTAAAACAGACCCCCGCAGTGAAGCTGAAGATCCCCCGAATCCAGTTCTCCTCCGACAACGTCGGCCATAATATCCCCTACAAGAAGGTCCAGGTGCTGGATGAGGGCGGCYAGGACCTGGGCGTCATGCACCGAAGCAGCGTGGTCCAGCTGATGGACAAGAAGAACCTGAAGCTGCTGCTGCGCGACGACAGCAGAGACCCTCCGGTGTACCAGCTGATGAGCAGCAAACAGTTCTACCAAGAGCAGCRGAAGCTGAGAAACAAGGAGAAACCAGGTGGGTGGAGTCTGGCCAGGAGCCCAGGGGACACGGACWCGTGGGCTTCATCAGATCAGAAGGTTTGAGTCTGATCTGAGGTGTTTCATCCTGTCATCACCTCCACCTCTCTTCGTCTCCACAGCTACTCCGCAGATGAAGCGACTCACCTTCACAGTCGGCATCAGTCCTCACGACCTCACCACCAAACTGAAGCAAGTGGACAGCTGGTTGGAGAAGAAACACCGCATCAATATCGTCCTGCAGACCAAGACAAACCAACCCCAGACTGACCTGGTGAGAAAATCATCTCCTAAAGCTTTCAGTAGCTGTGTTTACATGCACAAAATGTTTTAATCTGATTGAAAGTATTCAGATTAAATAATCTGAATGTACTGTTTACATGGACACAATCTGATCATGAAAAGTGTTTACATGCACCGGACCTTTATTCAGAATAAAAGTCCGGACATGCACAGTGTTGTAAACGTTCAGCTCTACTTCCTGTTACAAACGTAAACAAAGCTCCTCTGTGCCTCAGGACGACCCGTGTCAGTTTTTAATAACGGCAGAGACGTCGTTACTCCTCGGTTCAGCTGCAGCCTGCAGATGAAGCAATACGTGTTTTTATTTTTATTTTTTGTGAAGCAACGTCTGCTGTTTGCCTCCTTTTTCATTTGTTAAGAGAGCGAGGAGGAAAAGTTCTGCACGGTGTGCAGCACGGCTGCGCTGCTGCCCCGCCTCCTCTAAGAACAGAACCAGGTGAATGAAAGTCAGCAGACATGAACACAGGTCCGTTTACTACAATCAGAATAAGATGATCTGATTAAGTGTTTACATGAACCTCATTCTGATTATCAATCAGCATAACCCACCCAACTCATTCGGATTAAAAATGCATTTGGATCGAGCTCAATCGGATCAAAATAATCAGAACGGGCTGTTTACATGACACATTTTTATTCCCAACGGCTGTTTAAACCGATTACTTATGTCCATGTAAACGTAGTTATTGTGTTGAGATGGATTAAACCTGCAGAGAAACACCTGCCAGGTAAGTTCAGGTCATCACATTCAGGAACAAGGTGAAAACAATTTTACTTGGTCCAGTTTTTATGCAGATATGTTTAGTTGTTTTACTGAGATCCATTTTTATTCTGTTTTTCAACAACTAGTTTAGCAAGAAGAAAAAAATAGTATAGGTCRTCTGGACGGGTTCTTCTCTAATGAAACGTTTCGTCTCTCCTCCAAGAGACTTCTTCAGTCTGAGAGTTTCAGGCTAAATTCAGGCTTTTAAGCCCTACCTTCATGTGACTGATACTCACATCACATGGCTATCGTTGACACCTAATTAACACCTATTG